GCAATGCAATATATATTATGTAATACTAATATATACAGTATATATATATACATATATATATATATATAATATAATATGTATGTATTAATTTATATGATATATATTATAAAATTGGCTTCGAAAATTTATCTAATATATGATTATAATATGATAAAGTATATTATCAAATAAAACACTAAGTAAAATATATTATTTAAATAGTTTTAAAGGAAATATTTGATTAATAATATTATAATTTTAAAACTTTTATAGTTTAAAGAAAAGTAACTACCTAAATAAAAAATATTTTATATATAATAAACTTAAAAATATATTTCTTAATTTGAAAATTTTAAATAATATTAAATTAAAACATTTTTTTTTAATTTATATGTAATTTCAATGAAATAATTTTTTATTTGAGCATAATTTATATCATATCTAAATAGTTTATATTAAACACAAAATATAATATAATCGTATTATTTGTTTTTTTAATCATGATGTGTACTAAATCTTAAATAAAATTAAAGTTTATTCTACTCTTCTCATTCCTATCTTGACCACCCCATATGAACCCTTATCATATGTTACTTCTTAACACGACTCTCCCTAATAAAAATTACATTAGACCAATAACATAAAATAAGATTATCATTGACCTACACACAATATAATATACCCTTACCACCAAATTTTGCTTAAAAGTCATCAATCATGTATTCCTTTTGTGACTCATCATTAAAAATTTAAGTGTAACAATTAACGGTAATGCCTCACAATGTTATTTTTTTCTTCCTTAGTTTCTATATCTGGCTTTTAGTTGACACTTAAAAGCATGCTTGATGGAAATATCCTTTTTACACTATAAAGAGAAATTGACCTTTGACATCCACTTACAGATTTTTAATTAAACCTACTTTTGTTACGTTATTTTCTTCTTTATACTAGCTTTTAGTTCATGGTTAAAGACAACATAAGCATAGTGGAAACGACATTTTATTTTGCTTCATTTCTTTCAAAGTATAATAGTTAACTTGATTTCCTATTATGTTTTGCTTCATTTCTTTCAAAGTATAATAGTTAACTTGGTAGTTTTGTTTTTACAAAACCAAATCCAAGAATCTTGCCGGCATGGCGAGTCCACAATGAGACAAGAACGAGAGAAATTGGTGAATGTAATTAAAAAATTCACCGAAAATGTGACTTGCTTAACTTGCTACATTACACGAATCAAGTTTCTTTCATTCAACTAAAACTCTTTATTTCCACAACTCAAAACTCTATAAATAGAATCACTTCAATGTGTTGTTCTCCATCCAATCCATATTCCATTCAATTTATCACTCTTGCACTCTCCATCCTTTGGTCCTTCCCATTCCACAATCATGCCCCGACTTTTGTTATTAATCTTTGCATTTTCTAGTATGTTCTTGGTTGATGCTAGTAAAAATCTAAATGGCTTTAGCATTGATCTTATCCCACGTCACTCTCCCATGTCTCCTTTATATGACTCTCTAATGACCCAAACCGAGTTAGTTAAAAGTGCTGCTATACGATCCATTGCTCGATCCAAAAGAGTTGACTTCATAGGTCAAAATGAATTATTATCACCATCACCATCGTCATCAATTGAAAGTCCTATAACTCATGTTTCTGATCATGGGGAATACCTCATGAGATTCTCCTTAGGCACCCCTAGTGTTGAAAGGCTTGCTATTTTTGACACGGGGAGTGATTTATCTTGGGTCCAATGTTCCCCTTGTAAAGCATGTTACCCTCAAGATGCCCCATTGTTTGATCCAACCCAATCTTCCACGTACATGGATGCGCCATGTGACTCACAACCATGCACACTAATCCCCCAAAGCCAACGTGATTGTGGAAATTCTAGGCAATGCATTTACCTTCATCAATATAGTGAGAACTCAATCACCATTGGAAAATTGGGTCATGATACCATTAGGTTTTGTTCAACAGGTATGGGCCAATGTGCCACGTTTCCCAAAACGGCTTTTGGGTGTGGTGTATATAATAATTTCACGTTTCAGCTAAGTAGCAAGGCCAATGGCTTTGTGGGCCTTGGGCCTGGCCCATTATCACTAGCTTCACAACTTGGAGGCCAAATCAGTCACAAATTTTCCTATTGCATGGTTCCTTTTAGTTCAACCTCCACAGGGAAATTGATATTTGGGAACCAAACCATGGCACCATCAACTGGGGTTGTGTCCACTCCCTTCATTATTAACCCAAGTTTACCCTCATATTATTTCCTCAACCTAGAAGGTATCACAATTGGACAAAAAAAGGTGTTGACTGGTCAAACTGGTGGCAACATTATCATTGATTCGGTTCCCATATTGACACATCTTGAACAAAGTTTATATGCTGATTTTATAAGTTCGGTGAAGGAAGCGATTAATGTGGAGGCTGCAGAGGATGCTCCAACCCCATTTGAATATTGTGTGAGGAATCCTACTAACATGATTTTCCCTGATTTTGTGTTTCATTTTACAGGGGCTGATGTTGTCCTAAACCCTAGTAACATGTTTATTTCCATGGGCAACAACTTGGTTTGCATGACGGTGTTACCCTCTCGAGGCATTTCTATCTTTGGAAATTGGGCACAAGTTAATTTTCAAGTGGAGTATGATCTTGGAGAGAGAAAAGTTTCTTTTGCTCCAACAAATTGTAGCACCTATTAAGTGTGTGTTTGGAACTGCCTTGCATTAGCTTCTAATTTTTCACGTCTTGAATCTAGTTTTATGATTCTGAAGTAGAACCAAACACGGGCTAATTAGCTTATCCTTACACATCCTTAATCTAGATTTCACTTCGATAAGAAAAGGTTATATGTGTCTTTTCTTTAATAGTCTTTTATTTTACTAGTTTATGAGATATAGGGTAACTTGTAATGCCTCTACTTATTTCTACTAGTCTGAATTGAATATTGTGTTAAATTAGATATGTTTGTTATTTTCTTTTTCTTTTATTTTTTTTGTCAACTAAGGAATTAGCTAACCTACTCCTTTAATTTGCTGCTTATTCAAATGATAAGTTAAGGAATGAATTCTGCTAAGTTTTTAAACTATAGAAAGTAGGCACCTTAACGAGATAGGATAAGTATCCACAAGTTCGGATTTAATTGTCAGCTTACTATAAATTATTTATTAGTTTAATGATTAGCCAACTTATTAAGTTTGCATTGGAGAATCAACGAAAGTAAAGGACGTAAAAAAAAGAAGTTACAAATAAGACAAGGAAGTATTGGTTTGGTGAATGTTGTAACACTCCAACTTTTAGAACAGTAATTTCTTTATTATTTTTCAAATTTTATGTCGGAAAATTTAAAGAGAATCTCAATTTTGATCCCACCATTGTGATTAGAGTTCTAAGCTCTATTTAATTCCAACATAATATTTTTTTTTTGTATTAGTACTATTTTATATAGTGATCTAATTTAGACATTGAGAATCATCACGTGTTTATGTTTATTGGGATAAGTTTAATGGGCAAGTGTGTCGAATATATATGTAATATTTAATAGACCTAACATCTATATGATGGTTAAATATTAAGTTATGTGTCTATTTAAAAAAAAATAATAGGATATCTATTTAATTCTGGTATTATATGATGTCTCATTGTTCCATCCAAGAGTTAGTTTGCAATAGAGGAGAGATTAAAAAGAAGTTGTTAAACTTAACTTATACGCCTGTGTACACGCTTCCATGAGATCAATTAATTCCTCTGGAAAAATGTCTTCAAGAGGTATACAATTTATGAATATTCAATGTTATTTTAGGTGTTCTACATCTCTAGCATAAATCCTATTATTCAGCCATGGTTGTGTCATTCCATTCTATCCTCGTTACTTATTTATTTATTTTTATTTATACTTTCCCCCTCGTTTTTGACATCCAAAAAAGGAGTTACTAATTTTACATTATCAGTTACTAATTATCAAAATCATTTTAAATATAGTTTAAAATAATTATGATAAAAATTAATAATTTTTTGGATACGTTTTTTATTTTTTTATTTTTTTATTTTTACATAATGTATCATATTCGTCAATCTTTGATTGAAGATATATCAATATATTTTAATTAAATTGATTAAAAGAAGCATAAAAGGGAAATAACTGTGCAACTTTCGGACGTTACACTTCCTAACCATTTGGAAAGTATCGAACAACGACTTTACTGTCGGACCATGATACTACATGAAAAAGGTTGTATTCCAAATTTTATTATTTAGGCTGCATTATTAATATATTATCATCATCACCATCAAAGTAAGTATAAAAAAACATTTATTGGGAATAGATCTCAGACTCAGTATACCTCGAAGGTTTATTTCTTATCTATCGGTTAAGAATACCTTAGTTTACAAAAAAAAAAAAAAAAACATATATTAAATAATTGAGTCTAGTTAACTTGCATCAATACTTTAGTTTTTCAAAATGTCATCATATACAAATTTCAAACAGGTTTCTCTAGCAACATATTTTTTTTCTCTCCAATAATTGCAAAACTCAATAATATTTATCAAGTTCCACGAGAAGGATATATTTTTAGAACAAAAAATACTATGCATGAATGCAAGTGTTAGTTGAACATGCAAGGATACATTTCATGGGAAGCATGAAATTTCTTGTAGGAATAATTAGGATAATGGAAGTCATGGACTTGACATGGAACGACATAATATCACGAGCCATATATAGCAATTTGCTCAAAGTCAAACATTGAAATGCGTACTATAATTCTAGTCAGGCCCAGCGCAGTTCATGGACAATGCTTTCGGAAGAAACTTTGAAAGATTATATATCTTCATGAGTGATCATAATATTAGTGATATAATATTGTTATTGCCTTTGATCGTTAAATCATGTAGCAACACATCCAAATCAAAAAGATCCAATACATAAACTCTTCTACATACAAGAACGACAATTTCGAGGTGGAATATTGTTTAATATAACTTGCTTGTGCATGAAGTTCGGGAACTCATAAAGTGGGAAACATCATTGATCAAAAGTTGTAATTTTAGAGGAGAAGGCTCTTTGGGTAAGTGTATAGATAAATGCATTTTGACCAAGTTTACTTTCTTATTTGAAAATAACGAGTTATTTTATTTATTGGATATTTTATTTAAACATTATGAAGTTGATTATGATATAGATATTCTTGAGACCGGTTCTCGTTACTATTAGAATAATATTTTATGTTTAACTAATAATTTAATATTAAAATAATGTTTGATTAACGGAAATCACGTATATAATTCATTCGGTTGTTATTGAATTAGATAAATCTGCAAAAATTAGAAAGTGCTCTATATTTTTTTAATAACTTCACATGGAACTTAGAAAAAGTCAGAAAGATCAATGAAGATCAGCAATGTAGAATGGCACTTGTGAAAAATACAGAGAATGTAAAGGACACGGGCTTATCATTTTATGCAGAATCTGCATATGTATCATCCTAGCATAGCCTAGAAATAATTGAAAACTAAGATGCCAAAACTATCTGCATTTGGATTGATGAAATGCATGAACATTTCTTAATTTGTTCTTTATGTGTGTGTTATAGAGAGAGAGAGAGAGAAAGCACGGTCAACCATTTATTTAGGCCTATTGAAAATTAATTAGTTGGTACAATGTTTGTTGTCATGGATCACGAAGTTGCTTATACCTTGCAATAAAGTGAGACTTGCTAAATACTTTAGTGGATTCTTGTTGTTTTACAGTTTTTGGTATTGTCAACTACCTCGCATTAATTATCCATTTATTCTTTATTAAATACTCTTTTGTCTAGGAAGCTACACTAGCCTCCTCCCATGCATGTGTACCATGTTAAATGGTGGTAGCAGCAGTGAGTTAATTAGTTTGTTTGAATAAGTACCAATTAGGAGAGATTGAAATTTGAAAGCACAAATAGAGGAAAGAAAAGACTACTATTTGTTTAACAAAGAAGGCGAGTGAGCACATGGGGGGGTGTGGAAATGGAAGAAGAATGAAGATACTTATCTTATCTGGTTAACGTTTTGAAAAGTATATATTAGCAATGAAATAGTACAGAAGCACATGGGAAATGTATTGAAGACCACTCAAAACATCCACACCAACTCCAAAATATATTGGGGTATAATACTATTATCACCCAAGCCAAAAAGTTAGAGAGAATACAGTAAAGATAACAACCCCATAAACAAAGCAAGAGAAGGAAAAGGGAGGGAAGGTGGTCCTACACACCCCTTACAAGTATCACACACAGGCTGTTAAAGGGAACCAAATAATGCAAAGTCTGATGGGTCACATGGTCTAGAAAGCAAACTGACACCACACATGCCCTTGTTTCCCAATTGCACATGCACATGGTGACTGTTCCCTAAGCCTCCCACCACTGAATAACACCATCCTAATTCCTAAAACCTTTTTTTTAATCATCATTCTTTTCCCATTGATATGCAAATTAACAAAACCACACATTAAAAATTCTCACAACATCTCACAAATCAGAAAAACCTTTTTTGTCCTATCTAATATTATACACAAACGATCAACTCAAAAGTAAACTATTGTTAGCCACATTATTACATATGCTCTTTCAGCATATGTAACAACTCTTTTATGTCTTGAGCTCTTCAGTGTCAATCTCTTGTTCCTTATTTCTCTGATGGAATTTGATCTATTGAGAGGGCTCTATGGTAGTAGAATGAGGTTTTGCTGCCAATAGGGTGCACTGCAAGTGCCTGTGGCAAGTGATTAAGTGGTCATTGGTGAGGCCAGATGCCTGCATGAATGAATGAACCACTGTTGGACCAACAAACCTAAAGCCCCTCCTCACCATGTCTTTGCTTATGCTCTCTGATTTTGATGTCTTCACTGGAATCTTGTGGCCAAACTTGTATTGAGTGGAGATTGGTTTATGATTCACAAACCCCCAAATGTACTTGTCAAATGAACCAAAGTCCTTCTTAATCTGTAACACCCCAATTTGCAAATCAAATATTAGAAAATAGTTCAGTAAAGATTAATCAAAGATTGATATTATCAGCTAAATGAACAGAAATTACCACACCAATGAAAACTTTATTTTTGTCTTCTTCGGTATAAATAATTGCCAGCTAGTTGGTAATATTACTAATATATGACAAGATTGATATAGTAACAATGGTTCTAAATTTAGTAGTGATAAATCAGCTCATGTGGGGCCAGGCATTAAAAAATGTAACCTAATGGAAATTTCTTGTCTATTAAAGAGATAATAATGAGATGCAGCTGAAAACAAGTCATCTCACCATTAATACCCTTTAACTATTCTGTTGTTTCATACTAGAATATTCACTTAAGCCAGCTCAAACTATTATTTTGGGGGACATGAGATGAAAAGAAGAGAGACCAAGTTAAAAAGAGTGATGAAAAGGACACGGTTTTTGAGTTTTTTTACCTCTAAAATTTGGTTTGCATTATCAACAACTCCTCGGACTTTGCTCATGTCGATGCCATATTCAGAACTAATACACATCATTTGCTTATCAGTCAAGTTGGCCACGGTTTCTGCATCAAATTCTGAGAATGCAGCCCTGTACATAATTTAAAATTATTAGTTTCCACGACCCCAGAAAAAAGTTCATAAAACTATGAACATGAATACTTTTTAATAGAATCACACCTGAAATCTAGGCGTTTCTTCAAGGTTGAGGTCCAATCAGATCCAACTTGAGCACCGCTTAAAACTAAAAGTTCAAACAACATCCTGGATGGAGAATAGTGTTTTTGTCAGTCATCATTATAGTTTCTGTATATTTGTGTTTGGTGTGACACTGTGATGTGTTTATGTGTGATAGAGAAAGAAAGAAGTGAAGGCTTACTTGTCATCATGAACTGGAACTCCCCATTCCTCATCATGGTAAGCAATATAGATGGGATCTATTCATCAAAAGAAACATTGAGATTAATCAACACATTTTTCCATTTAAGATAAAGGACCATTGCACTGAGGATCAAAATAGGTAAGAATTTGTATAAAATATGAACAAAAATTGGTTAAAATTTCTTTTCTAAGTTGTCTTCAGATTAGAATTAGAGTTTGTTCTAATAACTTATGTTGATATTAATCCAAATTATTATTGTGTAAATCATTGAAGTTTAACTCCAGTTCTGATAGAAAAACAATACAAAAACCTTAAAGAAATGTATCAAAATTTAGTCCTTAAAATATTAGTTATGAATTACCTGAATTGGCTGTGATAAAGCTGCATCTCTTCTCCTCCTCAGTTGGCTTGGATGTAAGAGTAGTGGTTGAAGGATCAAGAGGAACAACTCTTTCAAACTTGGCAGACTTTGATCTTCCATAATGAGCAATCTTCATTTTCCTTTGTGCCTGCTGCAGTGCCATCTGTTCCCTCCTCACAGCAGCAATGCTCCCTGGGGAGTCAGTGATCAAAGAGGAGGAGTAACTCAATGAGGCCTCAATAGAAGCACATGACCCTTCCTTGAAGCTCTTGGACTTCTTTCTCTCCAAAGTTGGAGCCTTTGTGGAGCTTCTTGGGATCACAATCTTTTCAGAACTCAAGTTAAGTCCATTGTTGTCATTGCCTCTCTTTGTTGCAGGAAGCCTAGGGGACTTTGACTTTGGAGAAACTGGGGGTGTCAATGAAGCCTTGCTTGGAAGTGGTGGTGAAGGTGGAGAAAGTGACTTTGGTGGTGCCACTTTCTTGATTGAATTCCTCCTCTCAAGGCTTGGAACACGGTTGCAAGTTGGTTGAAGGACTGGCCTGCCATTGATTCTAGCCACTGAGGGTGTGGTTGTGGTTGTGGTTGTGGTGGTGGATTCTATGCCCACACTCACTTTGGCCTTAGAGCTACACATGTTGGTGCCTTGTTATGGTGTGTGTTGAATTGGTAAAAGGGTGTGTTTATGTGTTAACAAAGAAAAGGACTAATGGTGCAATGGATAAGGAAGTTTCAAGGGCAATGGCACAATGAGAAGGGAAATGAGAGAGTGAATTAGGAGAAGGAAGGGAGGGATATGGGGTTTTTATAAAATGTAGGGAAGGTAGGGACAGGTGGAGGGGAAGTTGTAACATGGGGAGGTGGGGATCTGCCATACAACCTCTTGTGAGGGGCATTACTTTTTGCAAACTAAACCACGAGGGGTGAATGTGACACGCGCTTCTAACTTTTGCCACTTGGCAATGTCTCAAGCTAATAATGTGTTATTAGCTCCCATAATGGTCTTACTGTATTGGAATTATCAGGTTCTGATTATAGAGAATCAAGGAAGCTTGTTAGAGGATTCGTTGGGTAGGATATTGTGCTGTGATGTGCCTGAATCATACAAGTATGCATGGCTTTAACCAAGGATTTTTTTTTATCTTCCTGTTTTGAAATACACATATCGATGTCTTAGTCTAATAGTTGTAAGCTCTGTTTTAAGATATAAGAATCGATCTAATATTATCATAATTAATTTTTATTAATGTTAAAATAATGTTTAATTATCAGAAATTATATTTTGTAAGAACAAATTATTCTTTAATTATTAATTTTGGAATATTACAAAAACTATATTTGTAAAAAAAAAAAAACAATGCATGATTTTAAATTACGATTACAATAGTCATAATATTTTTCATTGAAAAAAAAATATATAGGTGATGTGATCCCAATTGTAGTCTTAATACGATTTTGGTGAAATTTCACCAGAAATTCTCATAGAGGATCCTATCTGCTATTTCCTTGCAAATTAAAACCATACAACCCTGTTAAAAAATTTCTTACAACCCTATGAAATGTTGTATGCTGTAATTGTTTGCCTTAAGGATTTTTATTAGTGTTGGAGTGATGGATAAGAAAGGTCAAAATGCAAGGAAAAAGACCGATCATTGGGTCCATTCTTTCTATCTGTATGGAATCTGTCTTTTTTTTTCTTCTAATCTCCCTATGAGTGTGAGAATGATAGTGCAAACCAATTGTGGTAGAAAAAGTACATGACATCCTTTGTGAGCACCATTACAAAGTGAGAACTGAGAACAAAGAAAGGGTGTTGTGGGATTGAATTGAATGGTGTTGTAGCTGAAATTAAGAGAGGTTGAGGCCATGTGAGACTTTTTGTGGGGTTTTTTTTTGACACTTAACTGAGATCTTTTCTCTCTGTTTTTGTTCTTATGTTCCTGTCCAGCTTCTTATTAATGTATTATCTTTGTAAATTAGTTTCATATGTTTTTCACAAGTGGTCCTCATCTCCTATGTGTTATCTTCCACATCATGAGACTAAAGAAAAATATCTAAAGAAATTGAGTTTTAATCCTCATAGGGTTGGGTGGTTTAGTTCTTCAATTTGATTCAAGACATGTTATTGTTATGCCTTAAAGTGTAGGCCCTCGTAGTTGAATCACTATTCACATTTCTCTAATGGATATGCGATCTTATCTCAAAACCAAGATATATTATTGCATTTGCATATACCCTAATTGGAAGGTTACATCTATGTTAAAAGCAAAAATAAACAAAGAAGAATATGTCATTTTCTTATGTTAAATAATATGAAACAAAATCTTGTATATATAACACTCTTTTTAAATACATTCTTATTGAAAATCACAGAAATGCATGATTTTATTCCTTATGTAACTAGTCAAATTAATAATTTTTAATTTTCAAAAATATTTAATTAAATAAAATTCATATTGTCACTCAAATACATGAAGGACATACGAGAAATAAGTGGAATAAATCTTACTCATATAATCATATATGAAGAATCAAAATTATTTTAATTTGTTTAGTTTTAATATTAACTGTAATCATTTTAATTATACTGTTGCGATTTACTCTCTCGTGATTTCATCTCTCTTCTCTTATGTTTTCAGGGATCCTATTTTGTGAAAGGAAAGAATTATGTATGGAAATAGGTAGAGAAAATTTGAATCATGTATGAATGTTCAATGGTCAAGGCTAAAGTTTTTAAAAATTATACGACTATTTAAAGTTACATGACTTTCTAAAAATTTCACATTAATTACTTGTATATTTTAAAATTAAACCATTTATAATAAAATTATTCATATTTATTTTTCTTACCTCCCATGAAAAAAGTTCTCTCACCAAAGGTTTATTCACTTGTTATATTTCTTATTTATTCATTTCATACATTCTTAATATGCTTATACATATGAAATACAAAATTAACGAGAAAGACATTTTTTATATAAAAGTATGAGGAGTAAATTTTTACCATATAATATTAATATCGAAATTTAAAGTCATTTGATTACTAAAAATAATTACATAATTATATATATAAATAAATATATATATATATATATATAAATAAATATATATATA